CCCCCCCCCCCCCCCACCAGACCTCTCCAGGGTACCTCTCTGCCCCGATCCTTCCCACTGTGGGGTCGGGGGTGGGGGTAGGAAAGGGGTGAAGGAGCCCAGGAGAGCCTGGAATCTCAGACGATTAGGAAGAGGACATTTCTACCTTGTGCTTCTGACTGAGGGAGGAGCTGAGGGGAACCTGGCACCAGAGAGAGACAGAAGCCCAGAGTAGCCCCGGCCGGAGCTGAGGCATGGGCAGATGGCAGCCAGTGTGGCCGTTGAGGAGGGGGCTGCCATCCCCAGGGCCACTCTCCCCCATCTTATTGCAGGATGAGCCAGTCTGTGAGATCTCCAGGCCCCCCCTCTTCATTTTACAGGGAGAGGAGGCCCAGAGAGGACAAGGGGCTGGAGGGTGGTCACACAGCAGATTCCTGGCAGAGCTGGGTCTCTGACCTCTACCGTGCAGCACTTCAGTGGAAACTGAGGAATCTGGGGGAGGTTTCCTCTTTCAGCCTCCCTTCCAGCGCCACCACCTCCCCACACCGAGCACCCCACATGGGCTTGCCTGTGCATCTTGGGCCTCTGAAGCAAGTTAGATGGCTCTCTGTGGATGCCTGTACCCCTCAAAGATTCCTTCACCCCAGACAAGAGCTTCTCTACCCTCAGGCAGCTGTGGGTGCTGGAGCAGGGTTGGGACCCGAAAAGGAAAGCCATTCCCTTCTGAGTGCCCCCATGTGCCAGTCACAATGCTTGGAATCTTCCATGTCCCGTTATCAACTTGGAATCAGAAGACCTGGGCTCGAATTACACCTCTGCTTCTCACCAGCTGTGTGACCTTGGGCCAGTTCCTTTACCTCTCTGAGACACCCTCTGAACTGGGGATAGTCACTGTGGAAGGATGGCCTTAAGCCATTGCTTTTCCTGACCCAACGCCTAAACACTGTTTTGTGCAGAAAAGCCTTTGGTGTGGAGCATGTGGGGACAGGCTGAGCACACAGCTTACTGGATGTCCCAAAATTCAGGATGGCAAGAAAGTGGATTTTACAGTAGGGGACTATGGAGGTTATCACTCGGACCTTGCCAGACATCGGGAAATCTAGACTAGAGAGAAAATACTGGGCCACCTGACGTGGAGGCAGACACTGGGAGGGATCTGGGTCCTACTTCTCAGCCCTGAGACCCTGGGCACATTCCAGGGCCCCTAGGAGCGCCGGCAGCTCACCTGTGAAGGGGGCTTTCGGTCCCAGATGTGCCAGGTCAGTGGGAGGATTGAGTAAGATGGGGCACAGCCGACTCTGGCCTCCCAGGATTAATGAATGGGACAGTCCCTGGCACAGAGCACGCCCTCAGTTAGGGTCAAGACCGGAGTGAGGAACAAGAGAATGAATGAAGCAGACGCTGCCTTCTTTCTCCTCCAGGAGCCCCACGCTGGTGAAGAACATGATTTCGGGCCTCAGTTACGGAGCACTTAATGCCAGCTACCAGGTAGCGGACTGGTCCCCGCCCAGTGCCCTCCCACCCCCTCACTTTCCCTCCAGCACACTGGTCTTCAGAAGAGACAGCCCCCCACCCTCCCTGGCAGAGACGGGGCACAGAGCGGGTAGGTTGGCGTAGCCAGTGGTGATCCCTTCCCTGGCTTACAGATCTGGGGTGGCAGCGGGGGCAGGGGGTGGAGGGTCCTCTGTCTCCCGGGAAGGGAAGAAGTCAGGCCCAGGTTCTCAGGAGAGCTGGGAGGCAGCTCAGCTTCGGAGCTCTGGCCTTGGGGGGGGATGCCAGACCTCTGCCAGCCCGTGGGCACATGGGAGGCTCTCTAGGGCTGGGGAAGGGACAGTACTTGACTGGGTGGAGCCCGCTGACAGGCCCCAACTCTGTGCCCTCCAGGCTGCCCTGGCCGAGAGCAGCTTCCCCCTCCTCAACAGCCCCGGCATGCTGAACCCTGGCTCCGCCAGCAGCCTCCTGCCCCTCGGCCATGACGACATGGGCGCCCCCATGGAGCCGCTGCCCAGCAACGGCAGCAGCAGCCCCCCTCGCCTCTCCCCACCCCAGTACAGGTGAGCCCGTGGCATGGACCCCAGCCCACCGCCGTGCCCCCCGCAAGCATCAGGAAGGCAGACTCCTCTCCCCCTGCAGCTGGGATCCCCATCTTGTCACCTTCAGCACAGCTCTCTTCCCAGGGCAGGTGGCCCCTCTCTTCCTTCTCCTTGCTCCCCTCCCCGCCCCGTACACTCTTTATTTCCCTCCCTTCTCCATCCTCTGCCATCTCCCTTCCTCTCTCCTTCCCAACCAAAGGCAATCTCTGTCCATCCCAAGACCTCCTTTCCTTTGAAGGGAGACCAGACCTGAAACGTCAGGCCCCAGCGTCTCAGAGATGAGGGGGTCCTGGGGAGGCAAACTCTGGACACATCCCTGCGCCCCCAGATCCTGGGTGCATTTTGGGCTGGGGCCGGCAGGAGAGGACCTCCAGGGTGCCCACATCATCCCTTCTGTCACAGCCACCAGGTGCAGGTGAAAGAGGAGCCAGCTGAGGCGGAGGAAGACAGGCGGCCGGGACCCCCCCTGGGGCCCCCTAACCCCAGCACCTCGGGGCCTCCAGAAGACAGGGACCTGGAGGAGGAGCTGCCGGGAGAGGAACTGTCCTAAGGGCCTCAAGGGGCAGGCAGGGCAGGGGTGAGACCCCTCCCTCCCCCCCCCCAAAGCCAGGCCCCACCTACCCCGACTCCTCGCCCCGCCCAACCTCAAGGCACTTCCAGGACTCAGACGGAGGGGGGGGCTGGGCCAGCAACTCCCAAGGTGACCTGACCTACGACGACGCTCGCTCGGAGTGCAGGGGGTGGGCAGGGACCGGCCGCCCCCGAGGGGACACAGAACCCCTGGTCTGGGACTGGCAGAGGACACGGAGGGCCCAGACCCCTCCTCAGACTCCCCCGCCCACATCCGAATCCCGCCTCCCCTGCCCCCCAACCACCAGCAGCAGCAGCAGGAGGGCCCTCCTCCCCCCCCCAGCTCGCCCCCGCGGGGCCCCTCAGTGCCACGGAGACCCGCAGGCGGGCTGAGCCACCCTCTCACACCCAGGGCCCCCCCTCCCTTGCTCTGGCAATACTCTGGCCAGAGGCCCCCGTTTCCCTAATTTGTGCCCCCTTCCACCTTCTCGTCCTTACTGTGAAGCAGCAGCCCCGCCCCCGCTCCTACCCCTGCCCGGGCCTGGGTTGGGGGCAGCTAAAGTCTCAGAGCAACCCCAGAAAAAACCTGCCCCTCCGCTGTGCCCGATCAAGAGCCACAGCTGGTGAGGAGGGGACGAGTGGAGTGCCCTGGGGGGTTCCATGGGAGCAGGGCCGCCTGGTTCCAGGTCCCGTCCAGGCCGAACTGGGCCTCCACTCCCATTGGCTGGGTGCTGCCCCCCAGGCCAGGGAGCATAGGAAAGTGGCCCGGCGCCCACCTCCTCCACAGAGGCCTGTGCCCGGTGCACTCATGGAGGTGGACCCGCTGAAGGCGGCCAAGCTGCCCTTGAGGCTGGAGTTGGGGCCCCAGGTGGTGCCAGGACTGCAGGAAGCATCTGCCTGTGTCCCAGGGAAAGGCCAGGCTGAAACCAGGCTTGAGGGGCGGGTGGGATGAATACGGTGGCTGCTGTGACCCGACAGGTCACTCCCACCCCAGCCTTCAGGTCCCCCACCGCCGTCTTCCCTCACCCGCCCTCAGCACCCCCTCCCCGTGCCCCCCCCCCCCCCCCCCCCCCCCCCTGTCTGTCCATTCTAGCAGGCGTGCAGGGCCCGTCACTGGGACACTGTGTGACTCCGTGGTGGGCGTTTCTCGATGAGTGCGCCCCAGCCTTCAGGTCCCCCACCGCCGTCTTCCCTCACCCGCCCTCAGCACCCCTTCCCTGTGCCCCCGCCCCACCCCCACCCCCCCGCGTTACACAGATGACCAAAGACCTTTCTTATGCCGGAAGCAAAAACCAAAACTTTTTGTTGGCTTTTTCCTTTGTCGCCTCCCGTAGCCCCTGCTCATCCCGCTTCCCATCTCGGCCCCAGGCTGGAAGCCCTCCCCAACTTAAGTTATTGTTTTAAACCAAAGTTTACAGTGTCTGTTGGTGGCCAAGACCCTCTCTCTCCACCCTCCCTCCACCCCACCCTGAGGACCCTGGGACTCAGTAGAGGTTGGCGGCCCTGCTCACCTTCCCCCCTCCGCTCTTGCCCAGCCCGGGGGAAGGAAAGCAGGCAGAGGGGAGTAGATGGGCAGCCCTCGGCACCCCGCGGGGTTCTCAGCCCCTTGGGCGGTGGGCACGGGAGCCCTCTTCCCAACCCTGGGCTGCTTACTGGGGGCTCTCCAGACCCCTCTCTCCAGGACCAAGTCCCCCATCACACTGGGAGTGTGGATTCCAGCGAAGGAGCTGGAAAAAAAGTGAGACTCTCCACAGACCCCCTATGGGGGACCCCAACTTAAGGCCAAGGACTGGGTGTATTTGATGCTTAGGACACCCCAGGCCAGGCCCCTTTGCTGAGAAGACTCCTTGGACTATTTCCCAAGAAACCCCCCACATACACCCCTTCACAAGCCACCCCTCCCAAGAGGCAGGGGGCCCTCCGCCCCCTCCCCCCTCCCCTATGTACTCCCCACCTGTGTTCTGTTTGACCAGCACAGAAATATTAAACGTCCTCTATTCACAGGGCCCTGCGTGTGTCAGCAAGGGGAGGGAGGGCAGGGGCGTGAAAGCACAAGGATGGCTCTGGACAGCTGGGGGCTCCTGAAAGGGCACTTCCTGCAAGTACGGGAGTGGGCTTGAGCCCCGGGCACCGGCACCTCCACGTTCATCCCAGCCAGGGCTCTGGCTCCTCTCTGCTCCACCTGGCCCCCTTTTCCATCCGTCATCTTAGCATTCTCGGAAATTTCAAACCAGGTCTCTCCATCTTTCTCCTGTTTTCTCTCAAAGTCACAGCTCCTTGCCCCGGTTCCTTCGTGGGGTTTGAAATCCAGGTTCCTGGCCTGGATGTTTTCATCAGGGAGTAGATTTCCTCTGGGGATGGAGAGGGTTCCTGCTGCAGGACCGCATGCCCAGGTGTCCTCTGGGCCCATCACCCGTGTCTTCCTGGGGGCTACCTGGATAGGTGTGTGTGTGTGTGGCATTGAAATGCTCGCCCACCCCTGTGTGCAGTGTCATAGCACTGGTGGGCTCAGGTCGAAAAAGAGGTTATTCTAGCCCATGCAGTCTGGACCCCGGCAGCTAGGGGAGGAAAAGGTGCAGGCTGTTAAAGGCGGGGTGAGGCGGGGGGGCACCATCACATCAGCCCACATTAAGTCCTGGCTCCCCATCTGCTGCCCCACCCCAACAAGGGAGCCCCCTCCGCCTTCCTCAGACCCCAGTGCCGTTACTGGGTTATCGGCCAGTTCCCTACTCCCCGCGCTGTGTTCACCTTCCAGACACTCCCTCCTCCAGAGCAGGGCACAGGAAGGAGTGTGTGTACTTGGCGGAAGTGCGGAGAGAGGGGGGACGATGTTGAGAAAGCAGCAGAACTGGAATCAGTAACCCCACAAATCACCAAACTGCTGGAACTTTAAGAAAGCCAAGCTTGAGGGAAGTGGAGCAGAAAAGAGCCAGCAGGAGCTGGAGATTGAGTCTCCACTGACTTATGGGTCTCAGGCCTTTCCTACTCCTTTCAGCCATCATCTGTGTCCTTCTGTCTCACTCTCCCCACTTTCTGTCCACCCTGCCTCCTCCCCCTGCTCTAATCCTCTGGACATTGTTGTAGACCCCAGGGTGAATCCCCTGTCCCTCCTTTCAGAGGGCATCTCAGGAGGGGCCCGGCCGGGTCAGGCCAGGGGAGCTCAGCCTGGGGGCTCAGAATCCCCACCCTCCACCCACCAGCTCGCCCACCAGACGCTATGAACAAGTGGCACTGATAATACAGTAATCTGCCCCACCTCGCCCTCCGTGGAGGCCGCCAGGGTTCTGTACGGTAGGACTATAATTGGTGTGGACGACGGCATTCTCTACAACGCGATAAAGCAGTTGCCCTCAGCTTCACTGCAGCCGCCGCTACCCCTCCCCCTCTTCCCCTTGGAACCCACCAGCCTTCTAGAAAATCCAGAGGTGTTGGCTGCCAAACTCCCTACTCCACCCACGGAAGATTTGTTTTCTAGGCTGGCCCTGGGAGCATCCTTCCCACATGGGAGACTCCAGAGGGACAAGGATACACCCAGCCTCACTTCCAGGACAGTCCTTCCAGTGATCTAACTCCTGCTTCAAACTTGAGTCCTTTTATTTGATTCCCTCCCACAGGGATCCGGCAAATGTCTGGTCAGTACATTTGGACATGGGGTGAAGATCTAGCCCAGGTGTTGGCAGAGAAGAAAAGGTCTTACAATTTGAGAAGCAGGAGGCTGCTGTGGGCCTCCATCTTCTGAGTACAGACTCAATAATTATTTCCTTTCTGATCTGACAGATCCCACGCGGGACACTCCTCCCCATCATTACATCGTTACCTTCTTCTAAATAAGAACCGCCTCCCACATCCCGCCCCCGACCATGTTTTGCTGTCAGGAAGTTCTGCATGCTGTCTAGCTGCTCTCCTTCCTACTGTTCTGTGCAGCTGTTGGGGGGGGCAGGTTGTTAGCTCTGGCTGGCTGCTTGCCCTGGTCTATTTCAGCATTTACCAGGGGAGAGAGAAGCTGTCTTTGGAAACTGTTCTCAGGCTGGTTAAAAAAAAAAAAAAAAAAAAATACTCCAAGCCAGGCATTTTGAGGGTGAGAAGGTGGCACTGTGGGCTCTGCATCGGGCAGAAGTCCCCTTCCCTTCACATTCAGAAGGCTCTACCTCCCCCAACCTTCTATTTAACTCGCTGCCCTTGACCAAGGCCTTCGCCGATGGCCAGCAGAGGGCGCTTCAGACAAAGCCGAGCTTCTGCTCCTCTTTGGGCAAACTTGCCCTCCAGGGCAGGATGGGAGGTGGGGGTGTGGGGAGAGGGCGCTCAACTTCCTGTGACAACCACGGCCCTACAACCCCATGTCCCTGAGAGCAGTCTCTAGCCTAGGGCAGAAAAGGGTTCCTCCTGCTGTTTGGGAGCTTCCAGACCCCCTCCAACTTGTGACGTATGAAGCGCCCTGAGCAGAAATAGAAGAGAAATGAGCGTGATCTGGAGAGATGATGCCTCTGGAACCTACTACACTGCGCACCACAAAGGGCTCAGTAAAGATTTTTAATGGCAACAATAATTACTAACATTTAACGTTCTTATCGCATACCGCACACTATTCTAGAAGCCCTATATTCTGTGTAATCCTCACAACAGCTCTGAGTTAGATATTGTTATTATCCCCATTTGACAGATGAGGAAACTGAGACTCAGGGACTCAGAGGCTAACAGATGAAGCGTTATGAATGAGGAATCTGGTTTGCAATGGGGGAAGGGAAGGCAGCGGCTCGGTGCCTTAGTCTCAACTTTCTAGTGACGCTATACACTTTGGCGTGCCCCCCACCCCTTGTTGGAGACTCCCAAAGGGGAAACTGAGGTACAGAGTGCCTCAGAGCCAGGAATCAGGCCCTGAATTCAGAGTTCCCCAGAACTCTGTTCTTCTCTAGGCAGAATGAGGTAAGTTGGGGCTTGGAATGTCACGAAGGGACAGAGGGAACCAGAGAAAGAAGGCTG